TTTGGTCCCCAGAAACAAAGAGAGAGCGTCATCTGTCATCTACAGTCTCTCTCCCTAAAACCTTCAAACAAGGTCAGAAATCTAGGGGTAATACTGGACTCAGACTTAAATTTTAATAGCCACATCAAATCAGTAACATCAGCAGCTTTTTACCATCTAAAAAACATTTCCAGGATCAAAAACATAGTGTCTAAAGCAGACTTGGAGATTCTTATCCATGCATTTGTCTCCAGTAGGTTAGACTACTGCAATGGCCTGCTCACAGGTCTGTCCAAACAGGCTGTAAAACAGCTGCAGTACATTCAAAATGCAGCAGCTCGAGTCCTGACTAGAACCAGGAAGTACGACCATATTAGTCCGGTCCTCAGGTCTCTGCACTGGCTTCCTGTGGCTCAGAGAATAGACTTTAAAACAGCTTTGCTTGTGTACAAGTCTCTCCATGGCCTCGCACCAAAATATATTAGTGACATGTTAGTCCCATATGAACCAGCCCGGACTCTGAGGAGCACAGGGACTGGACTCCTGTTAGTGCCCAGAGTCAGAACTAAACATGGGGAGGCTGCTTTTCAGATTCATGCTGCTAAAATCTGGAACATTCTTCCTGAAGATGTGAGACAGGCCTCCTCTCTGACTATGTTTAAAACCAAGTTAAAAACTGTGCTGTTTAGCTGTGCATACAACTGAGGGATTTTATATTTTTATCTTTCTTTTTAATGTTCTGTGATTATTTATGATTTTAATGCTATCTTGTTCAGCACTTTGAGTTGCCTTGTGTATGAATTGTGCTATACAAATAAACATGCCTTGCCTTGCCTTGCCAACGCAATATCTAAAGCACAGAAATGGAACATGAATTCCTTACTTAACCACATTCTCCGATGTAAAAGCAATTCAAACAGATGTTTTTCTTAAGAACTGAAATTCCTAAAAATATCTGCTTATGGTTCTGTTTTCTGTCATATTCAGCTTAATCAGAGAAAATCTGTCTTTGAATCCAAAGCCAATGTCTGGTTACTTTTATTGGCCTAAAAATCTTCTGAAAGTCTCTGGGCATTTATTCTCATCTGAAAGGGCAAACGTTTCCTTCTGTGGTGCAATCTAACATTCCAGGACCATTACTGGTAACTTGAAAAAAAAAAAAAAAACTTGTTCTGTTTAGTTTGTGGCCTTAGAGACACAATTGTTTCTATAACTATTTTCCAAATGTATTTTGGCTGAACATTGGGGATAGAACAAGAAGAGGGAGAACACGTTTCCACTTTACTTGGACAAAAAACAATGTAATGAATGCACGAAAACACAAGATAAATATGAAATAATGCAACACTTTATTACGATCTTTTCCCCACCACTCCTCAGTATGTTGTCTATATTGTGGCTGTGGATATATCGTGGTCCCGTCCTTGTGAGAACAGTCCATTATGAGCCCAGTGACTTCACTACAGCTGGGGAGGGATGGCAGCTGATGAGAAGCTGACCTTGCCTTGAACTCTCTGCTGTTACTCACTTAAGATCCTCCGTTCCACTTTTTCACCCACGGAGATCCACTGTCTGGGTTACTCCTTTCCACCACAACACAAATGTTTTCTTCTGTGTCTGATTTCGGGTCAAGTGGGATGGGTGAAAACTGTGAAACATGCTGGAAATCATTTAGAAAAACATCCCCGTCTGCCTGCGCCGCGTTGCCAGACTTGAACCATGTGTTGAAGTCTATAGAGATGCTTTACCAAATCAACATGTTTTTGCGAAGCCCTCGTCCTCTCAAAGGACTTTGCTAGATAGTTTGTCATCTGCAAATAGGGCATTTTACGCATTCATTAAAACAAAAAAACAAAAAACCTGTGAAAAAGCCGGAATTGACCGATTGGGATTTGTTTTGAACCATAGTAATTTTTGAATTCTACTCAGGCAATTACGGATTTAACAGCCAATTGTTTTGCTCCTGTAAATGATCATGTGCCGTATGTGAAAAAAATTAACTCCTTGTCATTAGGTCCACCAGTTTAGAACTCTGTCGCTGCATTTTATCTATGAAGAAATTAAATATTTTGCAATGTGGATAGCAGTAACTTACATCAATTAATCTGGACAGAGACATCCGTAATATTTAATTGGCAAACAAAAAGCTGTATTTCTGTTTTGCATCTACTAAAATGAAGAGTACTTATTTACATTAGCATTGTATTGTTCCATAATAAAACAAAGTTACCAAATTCCATTACTATATCACAGTAGTTTATGCATTATAAGTGTGCTCATGTCAAAAGTATCACGTTGGTCCCAAACGACCCTGTGCTAAGATAAAAAAAATAAAAAATAAAAACCCATACCAATGTATCTACTATCTTTTCGACTTTAAAACCCTGTGAACCGAGCTGCATTTCAGAAAACACTTCAAACCCTTCACAGATTGGTCTGTTTGGATTCTCAGAAGTCTGGTATCTGCAGCGATTGACGTATGAGTTTGGGAGTTTGAAAAGTTCCAGAGTTTTTTGTCTGTGTCTGTGGAGATTGTGTGGGTTCTGAAGGCTGTCAGGGTTCAAGCAAGGTTGTATCAAGCTTTCCACCACTTGAATAAGATGAGAGAACATTTATTTGTCCTACAACGGGAACATGTCACTGTTGCGTCATAGAGTATACAAGGGCATGCTGTGTTATCCTGCTCTGTGCTTTCATATACCCAATGAGAAAGCACAAATAATGAATAATAATCATATGTACTTGAGCTGAATTATAAACATACTAGTACACTAAGAGATAAGCAATAGGACTAATACGATGACTATGTACAAAACAACATCCATCCATTTTCTACCCTTAATCCATTTCTGGGTCAGGGGGGTGGCAATCAGAGATGCCACCCAAGTCTCATAGCACCAGCCCCTCACTGACCCTCTGCAGGTGGTGAGTCCACAGGAGGACGGCTGCTCTCTGAGTGTGAGCATAGCCTTGATCTTTCAGTGGGGGCTTTTGGGCAAAGTGGGGTTAAGTGTCTTGCCCAAGGACACAACGACAGCAGTCATCAGTGGGAGTCGGTGGAGAAGGTGTAGAGGTGGGAATTGAACCCACAACCTTCAGGCCTTAAAGGCCAATGCTCTACCAACTGAGCTACTGTCACAAAACAACATATAGATATCAAATGAAGTGAGCAGTCAATTGGACGGTTTTTCAGTTTTAGAAGTGTCATCTCATGTGCATTCTTAGTCTTCATAACTTTGTGACTTTTTCTATGTGTAGTTTTTTTCTAAGTCATTATTTTTTTATGAAATGTTTTTGTACTTTTTAAAAGTGAGTAGTTGTAGTTTTACCCCAGATAATAGCATGTGTTAGTTACCATAGCAACACACTGTTTACCGTCAGAAGTTAACATCAGCCTTTTATGCTATGTTTCACCAGATTTTTGATAATTCTGGTGAAAAATAAACATTCTTTGGGGGAATTTCTCAGAATTCTATTGGTTTGAATGGGAGCAGTCAAAAAGACGTTTCCGGGAGTTCTAGTTGTTTCAAAATTCTGTGAGTCCGAGTGGTAATGACCCATGTACTACCTTTTCTGTGTCTATCCGACAGATGTGCTGAAGACTTGTACATAATGGAAAGAAAAGAATGAATGAGTCACTAAAGAAACGGCCGGTTGATTCACTTTATACCAGCGCTCTGTTCTCAACTGAAGAGAAAAGGGAGAGAACCGATAGCCTGGTTCTTAGCATGACCCAGCATGACGGCGAAACACTTTTGGATATATCCGTTTACACATCTGTAAGACGTTTAGGACATCTAGTCTTTTTAACACAGCGTTTTAAATCCTCTCACTTGTTGCCACCACTCCTCCCCACACACGTGCACCCGGGGTTTGGACGGCAGCTGCCTTCATCTGCCCGTAAAATGCATCCCGTGTGAAGTCATCCAGGTTGCTCCCCTCATGTCTGTTCCAGTTTATTTTTTCAGACGCTTGCTCACAGCTGTACATGGCTTCCTGATCTGTTAAAGGCTCGAGAATAAATCTTCCCGACATTTTCCTAGAGAAGTTCCAGCGTGCGATATTCCCGCCCCCGGCTGACTCTTTTCCTGTGTGCATGTGTTTTTCTATGGATAAGGGTTGACCAGTAAGTTCGCTCTCTCTCTCACTCTCTGCCTTGTTCTGTAGCTTATCTGACTTTTAAGCCATTGTTGTTCAAGGAGAGAAGGCTGGACATACCTTTTTCCGTAGACAGTTTTGTTAGCTTTTTGGGAGATAAATCTTGTTGTCAAGTATAGAGGAAATGGATGTTTGAGAGTGATCTGATAATGATTTGGATTATGCCATGACAAACATGGTGAAGACATGTTGTCAACCTTTTTGAAGGATTTTGTTTTGTGTTTTACTTTTTGGAAGGCCTACATGACAACTTTTTTTAAGCAGCCTTGGGATTGACTCAGATGATGCTTTAAGCTCTTTTTGGCAAAATTCCTGGCTGCAGAATTGGACCATTTACTTGCTCATCTTCCCTTCAGTTGCAATTGCCAATTATTTGCCTCTTTCCTCGCATTGATTTGCATATTGATTTCAAATTCTTTTTGCTCTATGCCTTCTGGATGCAACCTACTTCATTTATCCAAGTTTTTGCATTGGCAAAAATACCAGCATCCCATCCCCATGTGGTTAAAATCTTATATGGAATTATTAATTCATCAATATTCTTAGAAGGGGTTGAACTTGTAACCTTGTGTTTTTCTTTGTGACCCTAATTCAAACGAAGGATTAGCCATCTCATCAGAGTTTTGGAGAAGAAGCCGCTGCTTGTTTCGCCCGAGGCAAGTTCAAAATGAAGATTGGGATGGAAACAAACTACTCATCCCACTGAGAACGCGGCACATTACCTTTGGCAACGAACTGAAAGTGATTAAAAGGCAAATTTGTTTGGACCAACTACAAAATAAAAAGAAAACGCTGCCTCTACCACTGCATTGCTTTTGGATGGCAACAAGACGCAAGAATATTCTAATAAACCATTCTTCAATATGGAGCTTCGTAAAAGGGGTCTACAGGGAGGAAAACCTAATTTGGTCATCAAGCAAGATGCCATGCCTGATGGGGACATGCCACACCAAGCCAACACCCAAACAGGGGGCAGAAAGGAAACATTCGAGTTTGGTAATTGTTCCGGTTCACGCTCTCCAACACGCCGGCCCTGGCAACAAAGCGTTTCCATGGCGCCCGGGCTGCTATTGGCCGGGCTGCTGGCACTAACTCAGGCCTGGAGCGTTAACACAATTCACGAAAATCTTCTGTGGTTCTCCCAGCTCACGGTAGGAGCCACGCAACTGGAATTATTGATACGGTTTTAATTCAGTCCTTTAATTAGCTCTGCACGTCGGGGGTTGAGAGAGGGAAGGAAGAGCCCCGGGATGAGTTTAAGCGTGCGGCTGTTTATAAAGCGCTGCAAATAAAAGTGTCACACGCCTCACTGGGCCAATCTCAGCTCACAGCAGGAAAAGAAAATGGTGAAGGGACCCCAACTTTGCAGTGATTGTTGTGGCGGGCTAAGCTTACATAAATCTGTGCATTAAATAGTTTGAACTGTGTTGATTCAGTATTGTCTTAGTCATACGTCGCAGAATGTGTTTAGATTTGTCTAGCTATTCACAATGTGGCTGTTTCACACTGTCTTATTGGTTGCACTATTTAATTAACAATGATAGCGGCTTATTGTTCTTAAATGTAGTTACTAATGCTCTAAAAATGGGCGATTATTTTAATACATCTGATTTTAATTTCTTTTTGATTTTTCTCCTCTGATTCCTCACCAATTTATCAGCGGATTTTTTTTGTCATATTCATTGACAGCCACAAACACAACAAGAATACTTACTTTTATAAATAATTTAGTGTAATGTTAAATGGTTTTTTCCCCCTCAAAACAACAAAAGGTCGATAACAATGTAAGAATTATGAAACTGATCAGAGCAAGGGATGAGGTATATAGGGACATATGCTTGAGAGGATGGAGCTGAAGTTGGCTGGACAATCATTTCTTATTTTCTCCCCATCTCCTGAATACTGTGTACATTGTGATCGCAGGTGAAGTATGCAGATGCTGGGCTTTAAAATTAGGTTCATCATGTACATATTGAGTTACATTTTGACCAAAAAACAAAACCTATTTTTTTTGTTCTCAACTGTTGCTTTAGGAATTACTTTATTTTTACCAGGTTCAAATCGATAGATAGATAGATCCAGACGCAGAAGACTCATCCAGGTTTGTTGTACAGTCTGACAGCCGAAGGAACAAAGGATCTCTTGAAACGTTCTGTTCGGCAGCGTAGTGATAGGAGCCTGTTGCTTCGATTAATCCTCTGAGTGGCCATAGTGTCATGCAGAGGGTGTGTGGAGTTACCCAGGATGCACTGCATTAGAGCCCTCATCCTTCTCTCCAGCACAGCTCCCACAGAGTCCACACTTCTCCCCATCACAGAGACACATTTCCTGATCAGCCTGTCGAGGCGGTTAGTGTCTCTCAAGGTCAGACAGCTGCCCCAACACGCGACCCCGAAGAACACAGCACTAACTACCACATACTGGTTAAATATTTGCAACATTTGACTGCTCACATAAAAGGACCTCAGTCTACGCAGAAAGAAAAGTCTGCTCTGACCTTTCTTGTATGCAGGATTTATCGGGAATTCATGTGCACCGATAAAATTTGGCTGACTCACGAGGCCCGCAATGTTTGACCAATGAGATATGAATGAATCAATGATTGGTAATAATCCCTATTCACTAATATTTTGTGACAGGGCGCACTTTGGTCGGGTGTTCACGAAAAGGAAACGGCAATGAATACAAATAATACAATTAACTGTTTTCATTTTTCATTGTTTTCTCGGTAATAATTCAACTACAAAAGCCTGAGTAGGACTAGTGATTAGTAGTTGAGTTCATGAACCGTTTCGACAAAATAATCATAATTATCTGTGTTCCGACCAAATACTTTCCCAATGTTTTAAAAAGAATTGTTCTGATTGCTCAAATGTGTGTGATGGGCAGCAGGGGGGTGCAGAGGTGAGAGCTTGCGTTTCACAGCAAAGTCCTTGGTTTGCATGTTCTCCCTGTGTCTGCGTAGGTTTCTACTGGCTACTCTGGTTTCCTCCAGGTACTCCGGTTCAATAGGTATGAATGCCATGAGTGAGTGAATGGATGGTGTTTGGTCAGAGGCTTTGATATGCCAGTGTGTTTGCCAGAATGGAGAAAATATCTGAACTCGGAACATTGTAAAGCACTTTGGGTGACCTCGGTCTGTAAAAAATGCGTTCTATATATAAATATTACTTACTTATTTACTATTACACACTAGGTTTAGCAGTTCAGCGTTTGATTACAAAATGCTGACGTTAAGTGTAATACAATCATAATAAAATTGTGATGTATCCGATGCAATGTATGTCTGTGATTAAATCCTGTGGTGAACCATGTTTTGAAACTGAATCTTGAGGGACTTCCTAATTCCCAGCCTTCATTAAAGCTGGAGTACCTCACTTTGAAACCACAAACGAATAACCTCGTAATACAATCCTCTCTGCCACATCTTTAGATAAGACTACCAGCCAATCAGCTCTCAGTAAGTAGATAAATAAAAAAAATTCTAAGCCGGTAAAGACGGCTTGTTGTGGTCTGATCAGTTGACAAAATTAGAAAAAAAAGAACCTCCATCCTGTTCTGGAAAAATGTTTGGTTCTGCAGCTTCAAAAATAAAATAAAAATAACAATACATCAAACTTGTATAGCGCTTTTTTGGACACTCAAAGGCGCTTCAAATGGGAAATAAAGTAAAATAAAAATAAAATAAAAAATAAATACAATAAAATGAAATAAAATTTAAATAAAATAAAATTTAAATAAAATAATATAAAATAAACCTTTATTATTATTTTTTATTTTTTTTATTTTTATTTTGACCTGTCATATAAAATGCAGATGAAAAACGACTCAAAGTTCTTTACAACTTTTTTGTATTAACATTATTATGTCTAGGGTATTATACAATCACCCATCTGATGCTACAAATCATAAAATAACACACTGTCTAATATGCCAACACACTATTTACCGACTCCAACAGATATTTCCGTAATGCCGTAAGCATTCTGTATTTCACAGTTCTTCCTACCACAATTAACTCCTGTAAAGTAATGGGCTGACATGAAGCAGTCTGGAACATCTGTAAGTGTAATTAAGCCCACCTCTCAAGCACAGCTGTACTTGTAAATGTGTGTTCCGCTGTGGTTTATTTTACCTCAAGCATCGAAAAGTGAAGCCGCTGACAGCGTGGCGTTTACAAGAAGAGGAACAGCTTGTTTTTGGCTCGTGCATATACTTCGTCCAGGGCCTCGTATTGGGGCAGTCTCGCTACAGAATCTGAATCTTAGGCCGGGAGTCGCAGGGTCCCTCACGTTTCTCTCACATATTTGCTACATGGCTCACATCATGATTTTGATCAATTTGTTTGAGATTTTTATTTGTCTATTTACATATTCTCCACAGTATTTTTTTTCAGTAAAACCTAACCTGCTCAAACCAAGCAACACTTTATTGTCACAAAAAAACTGAGAGTTGTGTTCCCAGTTTATTTGGTTGCACTGCCCCAACCAAATAAACAAATAAATAAATGAACAACAAAACTAGTAAAAAAAAAACTCCTGGCAATATATTGATTGGAGACCTTTATATTATATGTATCAAATATGACTTTTAAGAAATCAAACAAAAACCCTTGAAGAGAATAAAACGCTGTTCAATTCAATTTAAAATCTCAAACGGTTTTAGTTCCAATACAAATGCAATACTTCAGGATGTGCCACTTAATCATATACAAGTTCAAAAGAATAAACAGCTCAACAAATATGAAACTTATTACACACTTATTCTTCTAACTTTCAAACCACACAATAATAATTATAAAAAAAATCCATCTAACTCGATTCTAACTCTCAAAACAGTTTGGGTTCAATTTTAGTTTTTACGTTCATTTATTTATTTTTGGCCTCTGTCTCATCTTTAGACCAGATTTTTTTGACTGAAAAGTGGAAAAAGACAGGACCATGTTTCTCATTCAGCTGAAAGCAAGAAGTGTGTTTTCCATCACTTCTCCAAGCGTCTGAATAAAAGTTCAGACTTAGTTTCTCCGCTTCGACATTCTGGGTCATCATCAGCCTGTAAATAATTGAATTACATTTTCCAATTCAGAAAGTTTTGGGTTCATTACTTCTCCATATTTTTTTACAGATACATTTTAGCGCATTTTTGGTAGATGACAGTTCGATTTATTTTTGTGAATCCCTTTATCGCAACAGCAGTCATCCCTGAGGACTTTACACAGTTACAACAGATCAGAGAATCCACATGAAATGACAAAGACATTAGAGCCATTGGTCCATACGGGGCGAATGACCAATGTCCATAAATATCCAGTCTTAAGACCCTCCACCTAATTAAATTAATATACACCATTAATGTATCCTTATTTTTTTACTCGACACAGCAATGTTGAACCGAAATTTAAAGTAAAAATTGTCCCTACTAAACAAAATCTACTTCATTTCATTTATAGAGCCACACAGCAGACGCTTCAAAAATAAAGAATAGAAATTGTTTGTCTTCCAAAGCTTCCTGGACACCTGTCGTTGCCGTAACACTAATCATTCTGAGACAAAGACAGCTGTGGAGAAAAGACCATTTCTGTTTCTCTAATCTGCAAAGAAGAGCCATGCTTTGCACCTGTCATATAGAGTTTGGGATTATCAATGTATTAGCTGTACAGATTTATCTCCCGCTGATTTCTTTCATGTTTTGCCAGCTCATTTGCCTTTATAATAAGACACATGAAGCATTATCGCATTCAACGTTCTAACAAATAATATTGTTCTTTTTCAGGAAGTGGAGCGAGAGATTTCTTTTCGGACCGAGTGTGGGCTCTACTATTCGTACTACAAGCAAATGTTACAGGCACCATCCATAAGTGAAGGTACATGCAATCTACACGCAAACATACATTATATTCATTTGTGATGATATTTTGATGTTTTCATGAAGATGCAGAAAGATGTAAAAAATGCAGCATTTCCAGCGTTTTTAAGAAAGTAACGTCAAGCCCAAACAGGTCAGACGGAGAAGTGACTGTTTGTTGTAGTTGCTGTTTTACAGCGATAACAATGTATACCGTAGATAAAGTCAGAATAAGTGAGTGGCTGCATATTACAATAAACCTTGAAGAAAAAAAATCTTCATTTGACTTGTGGATAGTGATCTATTTAGTGCCATTTTTTTGTCTTTTATTGGGCATCTCCAAGAAGATAAATCATAGATGGATATATCATAGATCAACCACGATATTGAAAACATTTACAAATACAACTTTACAACTTTATTAATAACACAGACACACATGTACATATTTCGAATCGAGCTGGACGAAGCAGGTACTTATAAACTTCCAAATACTCACTATATTTAAAGTTTTAGTTTATTTACGTATATCATTTATCCATCCATCCATCCTCCTCCGTCTAAGCAGTTTAAGCCGTCTCGGACTCGCCCCTAAAGACTCAGACTTGACTCGGACTTGGGGTTGTAGGACTCGTGGGTCTCTATGGTATTGATTTTCCAGTTACAATGTGTTGCTTCACTCGGTGAACTCTTTCTCTGTCACTCGCCTGTGTATGAGCTGCGAGGTGTGGGCCCTGGCGGCCGCTGGGGCCAACGTTGTATATTGTATTGGAAAACTAAACATCCCTGGTCACAAAGAGCGAGGTCGTGCTTTGCTCAAGTGAGGAGAAAGAGCCGCTTTGACAACAATGTGCCAAGCTCACAGCTGTGGTGCGACCAGAACATGACCAGTGCAACAGGAGCACGGTAGAGCACGGCAGAGCACGGCAGAGCACGGCAGAGCACGGCAGAGCACGGCAGAGCACGGCAGAGCACGGCAGAGCACGGCAGAGCACGGCAGAGCAGTCTGATGGACCCAGAAAGACCATACTTCCTCAGCACGTCCCAGGAGTGGGAAAGAAGAGTAACTCCTTGCAGCTAAAGATGTAATTGCCCCTCTGTCTTATTTTAAATGTGAATGTGTCTTTGATCCAGGATTTGAATTTACTGATCCGATTACTCTTTGCCCAAATCTGGTTGTTTCTCTTGATCCGCTTTAAGACTCCCCAATGTCTTAAAGCGGATGCATTCTCACAACTTAACCTTTCGAAATAACCTAAACTAAAATAAGAGTGAATATGTATACTATTGACCATTTAAAGAAAAAAATAAAGAAAAATCTTATACATATTTTAATTATGTTTTTTAACTGATTCAACCTATTCACGTTTTCCCTGAATGGTTTCATCCTTTTTTAATGCTTTCCCCAGCAGCTGCAACAAACTGAATAAGTCCTGTTGACACTTGTGCGTTGTGAGAGAAATTACTCTCTTTAATTATTGCGTTGGCCTTTGCCTGCTAAGCCCTTAGTTGTTTGCAGGCCCTTTCCCGGCCAATGCAAATAATTGAGCTGTGTGGGCTAATCAAAGCATGGACTGTCTGACCTCACTGTCTGGACCAAAATACATCACATTTCTGCTTTTAGTCCAAAACAATAGCGAGAAAACAACAGCGCACCATCCACAATATGAAGCAGTGGAAAGTGGAAAATAAAAGAAAACTGATCAATTTGAAGTATATGGCAAAGGTTGACAAATGTAGAGGTCAAAGAGTGAGGCTACGGGAAAGCAAATAAATCAATAAGTGAACTTTAGAGTTTGCTGCATGGCTGTAATATAATCGGTCAGAAGAAACATCGCTGGTTTTATAGTCTCATTTCATGGATCAAGAACGCGGCGATGATCAAGGTGACACATGACCGCAGTGAGCCAGAAACGCCGCTGCTGCGTCTGATGTCAACATTTGTTCCAGTGCAACATTGGGTTTATTTTATAGGACTCCACAAAGACTTTCTCAAGAACGTATTACACTGTTGCAGAGAGGGTTTTCAAATGTCCATCTAAGACTGAAATCATTTATTTTGCCCTGTCATAAGTACTATCTCTGCTTAGTGTTTAAAGACGTATTATGCAAATGGAGGCAGTGGTTATTGCTTGTGATTGAGCAGAAATGTGTTTGTGTAGGTTTTCTCCAGGTGCTGCGGTTCTCCCATGTGTTTGTGTAGGTTTTCTCCAGGTGCTGCGGTTCTCCCATGTGTTTGTGTAGGTTTCCTCCAGGTGCTGCGGTTCTCCCATGTGTTTGTGTAGGTTTCCTCCAGGTGCTGTGGTTCTCCCATGTGTTTGTGTAGGTTTCCTTCAGGTGCTGCGGTTCTCCCATGTGTTTGTGTAGGTTTCCTCCAGGTGATGCGGTTCTCCCATGTGTTTTTGTAGGTTTCCTCCAGGTGCTGCGGTTCTCCCATGTGTTTGTGTAGGTTTCCTCCAGGTGCTGCGGTTCGCCCATGTGTTTGTGTAGGTTTCCTCCAGGTGCTGCGGTTCTCCCATGTGTTTGTGTAGGTTTCCGCCAGGTGCTGCGGTTCTCCCATGTGTTTGTGTAGGTTTCCTCCAGGTGCTGCGGTTCTCCCATGTGTTTGTGTAGGTTTCCGCCAGATAACCCGGTTTCCCGTACCACTAAAAACATGCACATTAGGTCTGAATGTAATGAGCGAAAGCATTGAGATTGAGATATACTTTATTTATGTCACAATGGAGAAAGACAAGTTTGATGATTAAAGCCGTCGATGATAAGTTGCTCAACCTGCTAAATACATTTTCCTGTTGTATTCATTCAAAAGCACTCTGCAGAATAACAGTCCTCAGCTGCGCCTGGTGCTGTCTCGACTCACAATTGTGCGTTTCAACCATAGGATTGCAATGCTCCTCTTTGTTTAATGTCTACTTTTTTATACATCTTCTACCTGAGAAGTGATTTCAAATTCTAAATACCAAAGTAAATTAGGGCAAAAATGATGTATAATATTTTTATATGTTATTTATGATGTAGTATTAAGGAAATAGGCTCAATTATCTATGACATTTGCTTTACAACAGTGAGATTTTTCAGATACAATTTCAGCTGTATAGTTTGAAAGAGTCACTTTTATGGCTAAGCAATACGATGGAAATGGAATTCAGAACATCTACGACCAGTTCCATGCCCGTAATGTTATCAGTTATGTGGGAACACTACACATAAACCAATGGCCAGTCAAAAAAATATGTTTGTCCACATTATTTCCCAACTTCCACTAGTGCTCCCATCTCTGTGTGGAGTGAGAGGACAAGTGTCCAAAAATAACAATTGTAAACTGCTTTGTGACTCTGGTCTGTGAAAGGCGATATATAAATATATAAAATTACTTACTTACTATTTACAAAAAGTGTGAAAAACCATATATGTACATAATTACATCGGTACATATTACATAACCTTTCAGCATGTCAGGGTAGACTGATGTTGCCCTTTCTGCAACCAGCCTCAGACCTTACACCAAATAATTAAGACACATATTACAAAACCAACCTATCCTTGCTCACCTCTATTTCTCAATATTATTACCTTACATACAGTGACAGTGGCTCAGTCGGTAGAGCATTGGCTTTTGAGCCTGAAGGTCGTTGGTTCGAGCCCACCATGAGACCTACTTCACGACTCCCACTGATGTCTGCTGTCCTTGTGTCCTTGGGCAAGACACTTAACCCCACTTTGCCTGGAGCCCCCACTGAAAGATCTCAGCTCCTGTGGACTCACCACCTGCAGGAGGATCAGTGAGGGGCTGGTGCTATGTGTACTGGGTGCAGCTTTGACTGCCACCCCCCCCGACCCAGTAATGGATTAAGGGGAAGAAAATGGATGGATGAATGGATAATCTTGCATACCTCCCCTTTAATTTCCTGCAATGAAAGTGGGAGCTCGTGCTAAAGTACTTCTCACCGATACAAATGGGTGAAACACTGTGCTCCTGACTTTCAGTTTTAGTTTGTCACATGATCTGGAGCTTCCACAGTTTTCATGCACCTGAAGAAGAAAAAAGTCCCTCAGATCTTTTTACAGTTACTTATCCATTCCATCTCGACTTGATACGAAGGACGCCTAATATGATTCCACTACTTTTTTTGTGATCCAACTTCTATCGACATAAATGACTTTGTCAGATCACTCCTGGGGAATTCAAACTCTTTAATTTAATAGGATGTCATTTTAAATGTGAAAGATGGTGCAGTGTTACTTTTTGAAGGTGATAATGATGAAGCGAGCTGTGAAACTTTTTGGAGAGAGTCTTAATGAAGAAAAACCCGCATTTAATGTTGTACCTGTCAGAGAAAAAACATGTGTGAAGAATATTACTTTAATTCTAACATAATAAAAAAGGTGTTAACACTTTTTGTAATATATATATATACTAGGGCCCCAGAATCAATCATGTATGAAGTAGAATATTACAATTTTCCATTAAAAATTCTTCTAATAATAATTCTATAGTTACTGACTGCTCTTTTAGATTTTTAACCACACTAATAAGCATTTTACATCCAACCAGACGTAGATACAGGAGAGCGAGCTTGGCACCAAAATGTAATGTCTTGCAAAAGATCTGAGGGCAGTTCTTGTTGGAGTTTTTGAAAAGAAAATTGTCCTGTGAGCTTGTGTTGACAAAGACAGTTACACAGCTGAACAAACATGTCAGATATTCAGGCACTTTCCCAGAAGCGTCTTTACAAATACATTTAATACAATCTCTTTCCTTTTATTATATACATTATGTTCTATAGTATCCAACAACAATTCTAATAGTATTTTTTAACCTTAGTGAAATCCTGCTGCAGTTTTAGCATGGACAGATCCACAGTCCACACAAAACGTCCGACTTACCATACATTTTAAACTTGGCCATTATCCTGTAATGGTTTGCACTTCCGGAAAAGGTGCGCGTACATCCTTCACGGCTTGTCACAAAGCCAATAATAACAGTTATCAATCCATAGCTCTGTGAAGAAACTATGGCATTTTAAAGTGTGTGTCTCTTTTCTTTCCAAGGGCTCTCTGAGTTGATCCATGACAACTTGACAGAATCCAAGCGGACCATTAATCTCCTCCAGCGAATGAATATCTACCAAGAAGTCTTTCTCAGTGTGCTCTACAGACTTCTCCCCATAAAGGTAACGGATGACAAGCAATTTGTTAAGTGCAAAATGATTGTCTTTCTTTTTACCCTGCACAGATTTAGGTTTCATTCATCCCAATTTTATAAGGTCTTATGCAGTCAAGGTTCAACAAGCAGAAAATAGATAAATCCTTGATGTTGTGATTACCTAATATAATAGAAACCAAAAATTCAAGATTGAAAATAACAGAAGGACAATACAAGGAACTATACACGTGAAACACTTTGGGCCATGTTGCATCGTAAAACAGAAAATGGCTTTTCCCTCGTCATAAATTTTTTTCTGAAACTACATCTGAGAGCTTTGTACCTTCACCGTTCGCATTATTTTGATGCATCCTTCCTTATTCTTCCTTGTTCTATAGAATTGACCTTTTACGGGACAACGATTGACTGTGTTTGGTCCAGTGAAATGAAAAAAATGATATATACCAAACCTACACTATGGGGTTATCGCATTTCCTATTGTTATTTACACAATCAAATAAACTACCGGTATTTCAATACTTGTTTTGTATTCAGTGTACCTTCATTAGCCAAAGAATACTTATTATTTTTTCCTTTGGGTTATGATATACATATTCCATAGTGGGATTGAATAATGGCTCAAATGCATCAAAGACTTTCTCCAGAAGCGATTAAAACTTCTACCTTTTTGCTTTTACCTTTCTTATCTTTAAAGCATTGGAGCTCTGGTGGCATTTCACTTCTCAGTCTCCCCATGACAGTTCCAGGCACACTCACACTTGTCACAATGAAAAGCGAAAGGTTCCTTTATCGGCACATCAATTAACTAAGAAACAGTTCCTCGGATCTGTCTGCGATCCAGCTGAGAGACAAAAATGTCAGGAAGTAAAATATCAGACGATGCTGTAAAATGCCAGAGTGCGATAAAGAGCGGATACTGAGACCGCTGCGGTGTCTTCGTTTAGCAGGTATTAAGAACTAGGGCAGAACAGGAAGGGAAAGATGGTCATTATAATTCTTTTGATCCAAATATTTTGTAGATCGTAAGTGGTCACTCACTAAAATCATTATTGAAGTTACATTTTTGATTCAATTTAGGATCGTAATACCTCATCAGATCTGCTTATTTCAGACCTTGTTCTAATGTCATACCAATAGAGTTTTCACACGTAGCACCCACTCTTCCTATTACCCTTTGAGATATGTCAGTCTTCTTTTTGTCCTGAAACATGATAATATTGTTATTAAGAAATATTAGTTTGTTCTTTATGCATATGTACAGTACAGACCAAAAGTTTTTTATATTCATGATTATGAAAATTGTAGATTCACACTGAAGGCATCAAAACTACGAATTAACCCGTGTGGAATTATGTACGTACAAAAAAAAGTATGAAACAACTGAAAATATGTCTTATATTCTAGGTTCTTCAAAGTAGCACCTTTTGTTCTGATTACTGCTTCACACACTCTTGCCATTCTCTTGATGAGCTTCAAGAGGACCTGAAATGGTTTTCCAACAGTCTTGATGGAGTTCCCAGAGATGCTTTGCACTTGTTGGCCCTTTTGCCTTCACTCTGTGGTCCAGCTCACCCCAAAACCATCTGGATTGGGTTCATGTCCGGTGACTGGAGGCCAGGTCGTCTGGCCCAGCATCCACCACTCTCCATTTTTGGTCAGCCCTTACACAGCCTGGGTGTGAAGCTGTACAGTCAATAGTCATGAAAAGAAAAGAAACTCATTGAGTGAGAAGGTGTGTCCAAACTTTTGGTCTGCACTTTGAGTTGCCTTGTGTCAACTATATTGACTATGGCTTCATAAATTCAATTCAAGTTGTTATGCAAGTTGTTCATCATGAAATATGTGAGGGGTGGAGCATTATGCTTTGTTCGCCCCATAAAACATTCTACTTGTGTCAGAAACTACATAAACTACAACATTCATCTTATTACTTTTGGCGCACTTTTGGAGTTTGAAGTTATCCCTATCTATTACAGCAATAAATAAGTAGTTTCTGAATGTGTGTTACAGTCATATCTGGAGCCGGTTTACTTCTACATCTACACAGTCTTCTCGCTGCAGGCTGTGTACGTCATGGCTCTGTACCTCACAGCGTGGCTCCTCTCTGGGTCGTGGATGGCTGGCGTGCTCACCGGGGTCTGGTACATCCTCAACAGGTGGCCAATAACTGTATTTATGGAGCCAGAGTCACACAGACACACACACACACACACACACGCAAGGATTTTTTCTTGCTTGTGATCGCTTTGTGCGTTCTACAATGAGTATTAGAAGTCCTTTGTTGGCTTCAAAAAAGTCAAACTGGTAGTTGGTATGTTTTTGTTTTAGATTTATTTTTCACACACATGTAAAAAGATATTTAGCAGCCTCTCCTAGTCCTTTGAATACAAAAGACCTGTGAAACCTGAAGTTCACATACAAAAACCCAATGATTCCTTTGATCAAGGTTTTCCGCATTTCCTCAGTATTAATCCAAACTAGTTATCTTCAAAATGTGAAATGTCAAAATATGATGATGATGATTTATTTCTGCTTCTATTCATTACATCACATCATAGAGTCAGAGGGTTACAGACACAAGGTTACACTTTGGTGAATTCACCTTTAACCTGTGTATTTAACATTGGTCATTATTATCCAAATCACCTTAAAAAACCCTGCAGTTTGACAGCGCACACAGGGAAAACATTTAAACGCTTTCTTGAACAGCAATTTAATAATGCATCTGTTTCAGGTAGTGCTTATTTGGACACAAAAAAACACTACATGAAGACGCTTCACATTTTTCATTCACTCTGAAAATAAAGAAGGCAAACTACTACTGTAGCCGTAGCTGCCCTAGGACACACTGGCAGGAGCAAGGCAGCCTGTATGTGACATCAGCCCCTCTGACCTCCACCAACCGATCACGCACACACCATTCTCATTCATGTGGCTGAAGTCCTATCATATGTTAAATAAATCATAGTAATGTATGTACCATGAGTTCAACTTAAAAAAGGAGCATGGACTCTTTGGTAACAGGATTTAGCCGACTTGACCTTTCCACTTTTGTTTAGTACGAGATCCCGGCTTTTGAAGTGAACCGAATGGCATCTGATTGGACCAGAGCCAACTGTTAGTGCAGGTTCACAAAGCCAGCGTTTTCCACGCTGTCCTTTTCGATCAATACTGAAGCCAGATTTCTGTGCAAGACCTTTTGAAGCAAAGCAATAAAAGGTCACTGGGATTTTTCTTAACAACTTTTTGGCTCAAAGAGTGCATGATGTATGGATTGTAAACAAGTCTGTCAGACATTTTTCTACTTGATGTTGACATTTCTTACCTGCCTTATCAAACTAATATTTAGTACAGTGCCAGTCTATTTGGATTTCCAAAGAGCATTGACTGAGATGGAATGGATTTTTGTAAGTTTCTATTACAAATGTATCAAATGATCTGCCCAATCTTGGGGGTGAAATAAATACGTTATAAAAACTAGTGACAAACACCTAATATAATTGTGTTTTGATTTTTCTCAACAATGAGGAAAATAACTACTTTGTGTGGAACATCTCTGTATGGAACATAAATTGGAGAATGTTTTCTTGTTTTGGATGCCATTTGTGTGCAGAGGTGGAATGATCATCCGATTTGTGCTTACAAACCTTTATTGGTTGTGGTCCACAACTCAAGTGGAGAAAAAATAAAATAAAATGGTTTGTGTATTTGAAAGAATACTATAACAAAACAAGTATAACACTATTATCCATTTCAATGAATGTAATACATTTTTGTTTTCAGGATAGATACGACTCGTGTGGAGTTCACCATCTCCCTTCGTGAGAACTGGTCTCTGCCTTTCTTTGCGCTCCAAGTGGCTTCTATCACATGTTTTCTGAGGCCTCAGCTCTCCGCCCTACAGCAGGTGTTTGCGCCATACATTTAATAGCGATGCTAGCATTCTCCTGGTATGCTACACCTGACTATTATTATATCACTGAAAAATGATAAAAATAACTATTATTTTACACCGTCTGCTGCACATAAGTACTTTTAAAACCTTTGCATGTGACGCAGTGACGCATTCCATAACTAACTTGAGGTGTCTTGCTGACAAACTAACAGGGGTATGAGTTCAAAACTTTTACCTATTTACCTGTATCGATTAAGACCAATATTACCGCCATCTCTTAAATGTACCATTACGTCTTGGGGAATTTTCAAAGATGGAAACTTTAAAGAAAATATACATATATGGGAAGAAACTGGAACTAATTGGGAATTTTCCAAATTGAAGGTTGGTTCTTTCTATAGAACTTGATCTATTTATTACATCTTTTGAGTGATAAGTTGAAAACATTTTGCATGGATGTTTTCTTATTTCTTCTGTGTGAATTTGTGCTACAATTTAATTACATTACAATTATATTCCCAGTTATGGGTCATCTAAAGTTCCCATGGAAATGGACTGGAATGTTCTGCCTGTTTGCAGCCCTAATCACATCTCAACTATTCTCCATTATCCAATCAGAGCCTTTTTGATATAGTCTCATGTTAATTTGCCTGTCGATACAGAACTGCTCTGAGGTCATAAAACGTGATGTCTTGTCTGTTTTCCCCTCTACAGAAGGTGATGGTGTGGCTAATGTACGTGACCACATTTTGTTTCTGCTTGACGTGGCAATTCAATCAGTTCATCCTACTTGTTCAAGCGCTCATCATTTATACTCTGGACTGCACGGACTTCCTCACAACCCAACAGGTGTGGTGCCATTTCCAAGTGTAGAGGACATTGGAAAAGGCTCATGAATTTGCCATTATACTTATTGTAATGTTTTTTTTACAGGTGACTACTTTATACCTCGTCCAAGTGTGTGGCCTTCTGAGTGTGTGGCTTCTGCAGTTCTGCAACGCCATGATACTTGGATCTCTGGTCTTGAGCTTTATCGTCTCCGCACTCTTCATCAGACATTTCCAGGTATTGTTTATAACAGTTTGGTTCAGTTTATTGTATATAGTAGCAGTACTTGTTTAACTAAGCCTGATTGGACATTTTGTTGTGGTGTTGTCAGAGTCGCTTTAGTCATTTTTCAGAAGTACAGTAGATGATCTTGCTTGATATTAACACATAGACTAAAATGTGCTTTATTCATTTAATATTTGCTGTAAATATGTTTTTGTGATTTTTTTCCAAGTAAATTTAACAACAATATTATGGAAGCAATGAGATTGAAATTGTAAATTGAAGTCCATCATATTAATAATAATAATAAGATCATGGTAGCAAACTACTTTTGTTTGTGAAAAATACTTATGAAGTAATTCAAAGAAATTACTTATAGAACTGTTATAAATTGGGCATTGTCATTTCCTCACAGCTATTAGCTATGTGTAGAATGTGTCAGAAAGTCCTGAAAAAGCTTGGCATTCAAAAACAAAACAAATAACGCACGCACAAGTTCAGGAAAGAAAAGGAAATAGATAAACAATTGGTAAAGGAAAAAAACACAACAAAAATCCCAGAAAACATCAACTCCCATTGCCGACAAGACAGCGAGTGAGGGTGCTTCCATCTTGCAGCCTTGTTTTTAGCCACTTAGAGACTGGCCAAAAGAACCATTTGTTTCACCCTTTTCAGTCTGAGTCGCGAGAACAGAAGAAAATATGAACTTCTAAAAGATGGTACAAATGCAGTAAAGGTCCTTAACTCATTGACTGCTTCCGTTTTTGATGATTTCACAGATTCTCAAGACCCACAGAATATTATTTCCTGAGACTATGTGAAATATGAAACCAGATTCTGAAAGACTGGATTGTCTACTTTGATCAGATTAAATTAGTTTCTTTCTAGCTATTTTTATTGTCCCAGTCGAATAGAGGGTCCCAGACAAATACGTCAATGGCAGTCAATGAGTTAAAGCAGACGTTGAGTTCGGTGTTTGATTTGTACGTATGTAGATTGATGACTGTAATAGTGGATCTCTGTTTTAGTAATAAATGTTGGACACCTGTGTTTTCAGTCCGGTCTGAAAACAGGAGGCTTTGTTCTCCGCGTGGGAAAGCTGTTTTTTCACACCGCTATGGTCCTGCTTCTCACCTTCAGCATCAACTACCTAGCCAAGGTTTTGTGTCCGTCTGATTCTCCCATAGTCTGAGGTTGAAAATCTTCTTGATCCTTTTTGATTGACATATCTGTGTGTTACAGAAAGCCCTCCAGCTCAAGTCAGATGAGCACATCTTCAAATTCATCAAGTCAAAATTAGGCCTCGAAGTGACTAGGTAAGATTGATAATACTGCTGCAGTAAATGTGGTGATGGCACACAGAAAGCTGTTGCTATGGATTATCTTTCCTTGTTCTCTTTTGAAAAAAATAAGCTGTGGAGGCCGTAAATAATGACAACCAATGTGTTGATGTAGGTTATCTTAGCTCTATGGGTTATTACAGTATTATTATATATTTATTAACTATTTGCACATACAGCCACAAAGATGCCTTCATGGTTTCACTGATTAAGGAGGTTTCATACTCTCCATCACTAAATATGAGCATTTATTTTTGCACAGGTTGCCAGGTTTAGGGAACTTGTGTTCAGCAGACTGTAGAGTCACGTGGCCGACGCCCCAGCCGCTATAAATGAGGTGTCCGTTATTGCCGTGGTAATGGAAGTGACAAATGTATCTGGACACCAATGTCAGTGGGTAGGGACCCGTATAATTGCTGAAGACAGAAAATCATTTACTTCAGGTGCCATTCACATACAGCATCACCTGGGAAAGTGCTAGGGACTTATGTTTATGTGAATGGGGCACTCAGACCAAAAACACACACGCACGAACACAGACAAGCACACACACAGACATACATACATATACGCTCACACACACACAAGTACGCACACAACATGCAACATCACCTGACAAAACTACTCAGGAATTTTGTTTATGTGAATGGGGCACTAAGACCAAAAAACGTTTGTAAGCTAGTAATGCACACACACACACAAATGCACACACAACACTCACAAGCACACACAACATGCAACATCACCTGGCAAAATGCTCAGGACTTATGTTTATGTGAATGGGGCACTCAGACCAAAAAAACGTTTAAGCTAATAATGCACACACACACACACACACACACGCAGACTCACACACGCACACACAACACTCACAAGTACACACAGACATACATACATACACGCTCACACACTGACCTTATCCGTGGCTGTATCATTCACTTAAGCACAGACTGTTGCGGCACCTGGAGTGTGAGCCTGTGTGAATAATAGATACAGGGGTAAAGCCAGAGGACCTCCCATCCATCAGATAGTGCCAGTGTTCGGAGCGCCTCAGCCACTGGATTGCTGCTCCGGGGCGCCAGATAACACACGCCACACAACTGCGACTTCAATTATTCAGGGAGAATCTGGCAAATGTGCTCCATACTCTATTTAGTCTATGTCTGCCCTGCGTGCTTTTTCTTTTTATTGTTTCTTTGTGATCTTTCAAATCTCAGTTCAGTTTTGTCTGCTTCCGCTGTTCATTGCAAGCTACTGCTCAGCCAGAAAAAATCACTCAAACTCTATCAGGCTTGTCAGAAATGCATTTTATTGTTTGTTGATGCACATTATCACAACATACCTCTGTTTCTGTCTCGTCTCTGCCTCTCACTCCTGTTTTGGGGCTCCGGATGTAATACAATTCAACAGTTGATATTACTTGCAGTGTCAAATGTAAAAGCACAGTTTAGCTTAGTGTATAAGCTGTAATATGTGCTTCTTCCAGTTTACAACATCAGTTAAATTAGATTCATTTATTGCTTGTGGTTTGCAAAAATATTCTAAAAAATAAAATGTTCTGGGGTTTAGACTATTGGTTTAGACATGACTATTTATTTGTGAAGTACAGTATGTGTGGTTTCTTTGTGTGAATTTTGTTTTATAATGGAAAAATTAAAGCCTCAAAGCTTCTGATTGGATACTATGCTTGAAAATGATTTGAAAATTGAAAAAATTATAGACATCATGTCTATTGTTTTGTTCTATTGTTTAATTAATAATAATTCCACTTTAAGCCTTTGTTTGGAAAAGGTCAAATACATGTTGATGATTTATCTGAGGACACATCTAAAACATGTACATGTCATTTAAAATAATATTTGTACATACTGTCCATTTTTTTGTTAAATAATTCCGAAATTAAATGTACTGTTACGAACAGTAGAGTGTTACATGCAACATGATTGTAGAACTAGTAATGGCAGTTTGTGCTAAGTCAAACACAGAATATATAAAATAAAAAGATATTCAGTGATTGATTTTCGGCACAGCATTATTCCATGTATTTTTTGCTTTTGCAGAGATTTTGATGCTGGGCTGTATTTGTGTGAAGAAGCGTTTGGAGTCCTGCCCCTGGACACGCTGGAGCGTCTGTCTGGGACCCTGCTGCTCTACCCTTATGCCCTCACACTGCTGCTGCTCATGGGGGTCTTCACAGTGACCGCGGTGCACAACCTCAGGTCAGCTCGTCATCGCAATCGGTTTTCTTTGCCTTTGAATTAGTCCAGCATATTTGAAAGCATTTGTTATCGATTAGAAAAAAATAATGTATTCCTATGATAATTGGGGGCCGTCTGATTTGACTAATGCAGATTTTTTTGTCTTTCATTTTTGGATGCGTTTAAAAACTAAACACTCAATTACAAATGTGCAGATTTTCTAAATTTTCACAGCTTTGGCAGCACTATAGTTTGGCAAATGAGTTGGTAGTTGATTGGGGGTAAATCTGCATCTCTTTTTTTTTTGGTTTACCCACGTTCTGAGAAAATGTCATGTAAATGCTAAAAATTGTATAAATCTAGATGGATAGTTTTGGTCAAACTATGTCCCCAGTAGGCTTCACTTTTGTCCTCTCCTGAATGTATTTCCTCGGGTCCAAACTTTGCTTTCAAATACTTTACCAATTAATTCTTAAGTGTTTGGACATTTTTTGATAATTAGTTAGAGAGTGTCCAATTGGCTGGTTTTCAGCCATCGTTCATTTTAATGCCCGTACCGTGCAGTGATGAAGGCTTGAGTGCATTTTCATTTTCAGGCAAGATGGTGGAAGTAGACGGCATAATGTGAGTAAATAAAAAGTCATTGGCATGGACGTGAATGAATTCTGTTTGAAACAAGTAAGGAACATTAGGACGCAGGCACACGCACAGTGGTTGATTCACTCCGCTGTGCTGGGCGGTCATAACACTTTCAATATTCCACTATCCACCGCCTCCGCCTATGGTGCAAGGTGAGGGGCCGCACTGAACTAATCGCATTAGCATATCAGCTCGCCCTCTACAGTAGGAGACTTCCAGAATACTAACCTCGTATAGAACAAAAGGCTATTTGCCAATTCTGAAATTAATTGAATCCATTTTACCACATGTCACGTTGGGAAGGGGCAGCGCTTCAGATTCATATTCAAATGCATTATGATAGTGTCGGCCTGTCTTGGGAGCAGCGGAGGCCAGACAGCCGCTGTGACATCATCGCCCCGGGGCCCTCTCCTTGCGTGTCTGTGCCCCGCTGACTCCTGTAGACAAGTTGTCGTGGGTGTCTACCTGCAAACACCAGAAATCTGAATATCATATCTATGCCATATTTATTCCACCCACCTTTCCTTCTTGGCTGTAATGTTTTATTTATCAATGCCTTCTTTTGTGTCACCGCCGCAGCTCGCCAAAAGGAGCGCTAGGCGAGGAGTCAAGGAGAGCCTTCCGACCAGACCTGGCGTACAACCTTTTGCATACGGTGTTTTTCGGCCTCCTCGCCTTCAGCACCATGAGGTAAGCTCGCAAATGTGCTCAGGAAATTGCTGGTTTATGCTCTTCTCGTCTATGTTTCTTGCAAATTGGCTCTCAAGAATGCGTTGCTTTCCTTTAAAAGCTTGATTTTCTTGTGCCTGTGAAAAGTAGCAGAAATCTTAAGTGCCTCTTACATGACTAAATTGGTCTGGCTGTTATCAAAACCCTTGCACTGAGTGGCGTGACATGTGCTTGAATCTGGCAGGAGCATACTCGTGTCATAAGGAGCGGACACACATTTAAACATCCGATAATTTCGTGCTTGATCCATGTTTCTTAATACTCGGGATGAAATTGCTCTTTTGAAATAGTTTGTTTGTATGCACCTCATTCCTTTTAGCTTTCAATACAGTATAATCAGGAACAGGAATGAGAGGGAAATTAGGAATGACTAATGTTATCTTCTGTCTTTCTCATTCATGAACGATCCCTGTAGACCAGAGAAATGACATGTGCTTAAAGGGCACGCCTTATCTTCTATAGATGTCATTGCTTCAAGGGTGACGACGCTCAATTCATTTGAAATGTATGTTTTTACTAAAGCAGGGGTTGAACACATGTGAATGACCTTGCTCCTACTGTAACCAGGAGTGAGATCCGCATGGGCGAATGGGATTTACTTACTCCTTTAATTAATGGAGAACATCTTCACTTCACATTTACATTTAAGTCTGCAGTCATGTTAAAATTATCTTATTCATAAAACCTCTCCTCAGCATGTTTAACACCAATTCTGAAATCACTAGAACTCCCAGAGCCGTCATTTTGACTTCTCCCATTCAAACCAAAGGAAGAGAAATCCACCTCCCGTGTTTCACCACTTTTATTAAAAGTACGTATTTTACTCACATTTAAATACTTGTTAAAACTGGTGAATATAACTTGAAATGCTAACCGCTAACAGTAAACAGTGTGTTGCTATGGTAACTATTACTGACTCTATGAAAACACGAGATAATAAATGAAAAAGCAATATCATCCCATTAATCTCTCCTTCCCATAATTCACAGAAACATATCACCTCACACATTTTGTCTTGTCAACTAATCTAAAGTACATGCCCCTAACCGATTTTTATGTTGGGTTTATAAAGATATAAAAAAACAAAAAAAAAACAAAAAAGGTTTTCAAAAGGCCTTTATCCACGATAGCAGTTGGTTTGTGAAGCTGCAGGAAAATGACTGGGTTATAGAAATGATAGCAACAAAAGCAAGGTGTTCAAAAAGCCCACGGCCTTTTTGTTCTGATTTTTGGCACATGGATTCTAACCTGAGCCAAAGACTGTGCTAAGTTCAGCCAACCTGTGTGTTTTTGACAGCAGCACTCAGCAAGCTGTCAGTGTCCATAGGCAGAAGTGTCTACATCTCTATTTTTGACTTCTCACAACAGGATTGCTTTACTTTATTATAGAATTTCAAGTAATAATGTCTCAACTCCTCAAAGTAATAATACATCGGTTTCATAAAGGGCCTTTTTGGACATTCAAAGAGATTTAACATGTCATTATCCTTTCACAGTGATAAACTACTACTGTAGTCACAGCTGCCTTGGGGCACACTGCCAGAAGCAAGGCAACCAGTATCTGCCCCTCCGACCATGACCAACTTTTCTCGTACACACCAGACTCATTCTAGGCAATGTGATACTTCATCCATCCATCCATTTCGTTCATCTTCATCTGTTGCCATACTGCGGGGGCAGTTGTCTAAGCAGAGACACCCAGACTTCCCTTTCCACACACACTTCCTCCTGCTCATTCGAGGGAATCCTGAGGCGTTCCCAGGCCAGCTGAGAGACATAGTCCCTCCAGCGTGTCCTGGGTCTTCCCCGGGGTCTCCTCCCGGTGGGACGTGCCTGGAACACCTCCCCAGGGAGGCGTCCAGGAGGCATCCGGAACAGATGCCCGAGCCACCTCAACTCGTTCCTCCTGACATGGAGATGCAGCGGCTCTACTCCGAGCTCCTCCCTTGTGACTCCTCACCCTTTCTCTGCGACTTTCTTTGTCTTTCGGCTCAGCTCCCTCTTTACCACAATGGTCCTATAAAACGGCCCCATCACTGCGAACGCTGCAGCAATCCACTTGTCAATCTCACGCTCCATGCTTCCCTCACTCATGAACGAGATCCAGAGATACTTGAACTCCTTCACTTGAGGAAGGACCTCTCCACCCACCTTTTTCCAGTCAAGCACCATGACCTCAACCTAACAAGATCTATTGCATGATAGGGGCCACTTTTATTGATTTCAAAGTTCACAAATAAGCATTGGGCTTTGGCTTGTTATGATTGCAAGTACATTGTAACTAGTGTAGAGTAAAAATCTAGTAAAAAATGTGTTTTTTTTCTCATTACTAAACATTTGAGGGTGACTTGCTCCCAGCTCAACCACAGCTTCTTCAATTTTACACTCGGCTGCACTTTTCAGCCTTGTGTTTTTGTTCTCTGTCAAATGGCAAAGTTGTGTTTGTCAGTTGTTTTAATTTGAACATGAAATTATTTATTTACAAAGGCAAATTCTTGTCAGCCATTTGAAGCACTATTATTTTTGCAGAGTTAACTTTCAAGATCGGGACACTTATTTTATAATTGCCTTAAGAAACTGACGTGTGGTTATTTCTTTTTTCATTTTTTTTAAAGTCATGTTATTTGTTTGTCAAAAGGGATATGTTCTTGGCTGTATTTTTTGTAAATGAGGAAATTACAATTCCATGTCTTTTTTTTCTTCTTTTTTTCTCTCTTACTAAGCAGCTCTCTGATTGGCCGTGCTGTCTGAATACACTTTTTGTTTCATGGTATTTGTTGTACACATTTATGGCTAACTTTTTTCAATAAATATATTTTTTCACAACAAAGAGTCTTCAAGGCTGATTTCCTGATCGGCTGAGTAAGGGTGGTAATCTCTTCACTTTTCTGTCTGTAAAAGCTGATCTAAAGGCCAATTAAAAGCTGTTTTGAGAGCGAGGAAATAGTTGGTTGGATTTGATTACATTGTTACAAAATCAGATATGTAATTTTGGAAGTCGCCAATACGTAAATAATATACTCCACCTCCAATACGTCAGAATAAACATACAAGCTTCCCACCCGCTCTCTCACCCTTGTGCTTGTGTTGTTTCAGGATGAAGTACATCTGGACAGGTCACATGTGTGCGGTGGCGGCCTTTGGTGTGTGCGGGACGGAGATTTGGACTCTCATCTTCAACACACTTCGATGCAACAGTAAATTTCTGGTATGGTACTATACTGACTCAAAAACACAAATTACTTTTGAAACAAAACCGGCAGCATTATTATGGCTGAGAAAGAATAGAAGTAATGATGTACAGTACTATTCAAACATTTCAGAGGTGCCAGAGGTGCTAAATTTTGCAATTTCTCGCGTCCGGCAAATTTATTTTCAATAAAAGTTATTAACTAGGATCTGCAATGGCATCATTTTAAAGCTACTTTTATCAAGAAAACAATAATATCATACAATTCATACTAAATCTTGAAACCTAAATGCAATTAAGTTAAACGATACAAATAAATTATTCGCTAAAATATTGGTGGATTATAAGTCACTTTTTTTTCTTTTCTTTTTTTACACATTCTTTACACTCAGCTGCTTTAATGTGGTATAGTATCTCCTGGCTCTAACATATAGATGTAAATATTTGGCTCTTGACCATTTCTTTATTTCAGAATCTTGCCCAGACAAAAATTAATTTGACACCCCTGGTCGTTTCGGTTAAAAATGTTAAAAAACATAGCATTTAACTTGCTGCAGGCGAAAGATCATTTGACTCCAGGTTCTTGGCATTGATTCCAATAATCAAGAAAGTTTTCCAAAAGTTTGTGTTGGTTTCCTACCATTTCCACTGGAGCCTTCTGCTGCTGTCTGGATGTGAATCAGTGTCGGTAACTCCAGGACGCTCACGGATCAATTACATTATAACCATTTCACATTTTGATATTGATTTAAAACTAAACAAGTCTGCTGCATTGTGAATAGAAGCACCTATATTACCTCTCCTTAAATATACATACATATATACAGTACATATATTCTATCCTCCATATCACAGATAGAAGAAAAATAAAATATGACAGCACGTATAAAACTGATGCGTCTTAACATAAATCCAAACCTTCAGAAGGACCATTTGAGATCACCAATTGGAAATTATGAAACTGGCAACGGATGAAATAGAAGAAATGGATGGATGGATGGATGGATACCCAATATATTCCACATTACACTAACAACATCACATTTGACCATCATAGCTACATGACCTCCTGAATCCAGGATGCTTTCTATACTTGGCTGAGTGGATAGCACTCTCGCTTCTCAGCAAGAAGGTCCTGGGTTTGAATCCAGGACCAGGAATTCAATGAAATTGGATTAGGCAAAAATAAGTTATACTTCAGCCTAATCCCTTTGGTCACAACTGCGTTTGTAAATCTATGTTAAAGCTTATACACTACTGACATAAGATACATTGTTTTTGTAACCTTGTCCTTATTTGAATGCCTTTTTATGTCAAAAAATAATAATAATTTGCATGACCGAATAAACAAACAAACAAATCCTGATCGGAACAGGGCCTTTCTGAGTGGAGTTTGCATGTTCTCCCTGTGTCTACTCTGCATACTATGTTTTCTCTGGTTGCTCCGGTTTCCCCCTACCACTAAAAACATGTAAGATAGTTCTGGCATCCGCCTCCTGTATGGCGACCTCGCTCCCATCTCTGTGTGGAGTGACAGATAATTGCCCACAACAATTGCAAAACGCTTTGTGACTCTGGTCTGTGAAAGGCGCTATATAAATAAACATTATACTTCCCACAAATGTTTCTCTTTGTATTTCAGTTATTTTTGCTTCAAGTATTTTCCTACCTCTTAGAAAATGTAATGCCTCCCCCTTTTGTCGATTTCACATCAAAGTTCTGTAAAACGCTGACACCTAAAGGGTGATGTGTGTGAGAAATTCAGAGTGAACATAAATGACCACATTTCTATCTTGGCCTGATGATAACCAGCTCTCAGTCCAGCTGCTGCCTTCTCTCTGCTCAACTTCCCAGTCGCTGTGGATGTTTGCAATGCTCCGATTAGGGAGAGACAAGCGAACCATGAAGCTGCCCAGGTTCATTATTGAGATCCACGCAGCAGATATAAGCGCCCAGTGTCTCCACCAGGGGTCAGTGTGTCCTCGAGGTGGCTGCTACAGGACAAGCACCAGACACTGTTGCTCTGTGTTCTACTGCCACACTCATCTCCCCGTTATCTCAGACGCTCCTCATCTCAATACTCTTATTCAAAATTATTTTTCTTAGTCTGGCTCCCAAGTTTGACTGCAGTCTATTCGATTCTGGCCTGTCACTTTATCTGAGCCATTTCTCTCTCTTTTTTTGCAGTTAAGGCTTGTGACATATGCAGTTCCACTCGTGATGATGGGTTGGCTGTATTATAAGGTATGTGCTTATATCTCTGCTCATCATCACTGCTGTTTGCCAGCCTGGTTAGAAAGCGGAATTCCTAAAAAGTGAAGTGAAAGAACGGTTTAGAGAACAGTCTTTTAAACAAAACGGGTATGTTTTTCATTGTATTGGCTGTATTTATGTTTAGTTAACATATATTAACGAATACACATGTTCTTATCATCAGTGGTCTTGCATCACAACATTGACTCATACTTGTCCAAGAGCAGAACCTCTTTTCTCTTTGGCTGTTATTTTTCACAGTGGCATTTGCATTAAACTTCAAGAGAATCTTTCAAAGTATAGTTTTGCACACTTATTTACAAAGTTTTTTCTATATTTTATGTAGACATAATAGAATCTGACATAATGCATATACACATTTTCTTTGCAACTTTAATTATCGGCCTTAGTTTGCTGTCCCTTTGTCTTAAACTGCATTCTGTAATTGGATTCATTCATTCATTGAATATCAATATGACACTATGAGCCTCATGTATCAAGTGTTTTCTTAAAAGTAAAAGTTATTAGTTCTATAAAACTCAACCAGGGAAACTGCACCCACAGTTTTTGCACATGCTTTGGTAAATAAGTGTGTTTAAAGGAATAGTTCACAGTTTTTACATACTGACATATGTTCTTACCTTACCTTAGACTAGTTAATACGTACCTGTCTGGTCTTAGTCCGTGCGCTCTGTCATGCAAACGGAGCAAAAACGGGAGCACAACCGCAGCCTCCTCTGTATATTTTGTAGCACCAAAAGGTAGCTCCCGCTAGAAGCTACCAAACTCTTCCAAGTGTTCCCTATTAAATGTATATAGTTACGTGACGTGTTACACTGCAAAGTATAGTAACACAGAATTGTAACAGTTGATTTTCTCAGCGGATAAAACGGGTACTATATTGTGAGGCGTAGTAATCTGAGGGGCGCTACGTCCGCGCACTAACTTCTCTCCGGAGACTTCTCTCTCGCTCACTTCCGTCAATAGAAGCAGCGTGACTTGTAATACACACAGTAGCAGCGAGAGAGAAGTCTCCGGAGAGAAGTTAGTGCGCAGAGAAGTTAGGAGCGCTACGTCCGCGCACTAACTTCTCTCCGGAGACTTCTCTCTCGCTGCTACTGTGTGTATTACAAGTCACGCTGCTTCTATTGACGGAAGTGAGCGAGAGAGAAGTCTCCGGAGAGAAGTTAGTGCGCGGACGTAGCGCACCTCAGATTACTACGCCTCACAATATAGTACCCGTTTTATCCGCTGAGAAAATCGACTGTTACATTTCTGTGTTACTATACTTTGCAGTGTAACACGTCACGTAACTATATACATTTAATAGGGAACACTTGGAAGAGTTTGGTAGCTTCTAGCGGGAGCTACCTTTTGGTGCTACAAAATATACAGAGGAGGCTGCGGTTGTGCTCCCGTTTTTGCTCCGTTTGCATGACAGAGCGCACGGACTAAGACCAGACAGGTACGTATTAACTAGTCTAAGGTAAGGTAAGAACATTTGTCAGTATGTAAAAACGGTGAACTATTCCTTTAAGTAATATAGTCTACCTGCATGCACTACAGTATAGGAACTTTCCATTGGTTGTATTTTTACATTATGGGCCAACCCACGGCCCATCATGACAAAATGGGTCATTAACACTAAGGCTAAGAGCTCTTTTCTATGTGAAATATCACTGTGTCAAAGCAATAACATTCAGATTAAATAAAAAACAGTCTTATTGAGTTCAAGTGCCTTGTGCAACATGTTAACCCTATTACATCCCTCATCTGCCAAAGCAAAACTCCAGTTAGCATTTATTTTTTTGCAGTTCTGGCCCAAACTAATGCAGGAAGTTTCCGAACTGAGAGAATTTTACGATCCGGACACCGTGGAGCTCATGACCTGGATAAGGTACCCCCCACAACACCACTAAACAATCCTTTCTCCTCACTACACTGCACCACTCTCACTCAACCCCTTCTGATTGGCTTGTTACATCGGATTGACTTGCCCTGGCTCTTGACGGCCTTGATTGCGGCGCGCGTGTACATGTGCGCACCACCGTGTTTGTTTGCGAGAGGAGATGAGGCTGATGAGTGATGAGAGCTGATGGGACTTCCATGAATAAGACATGGGGCTGCCTTGGAAGGGACCCAGCTGTTGGCAGAGCAGCAGTCGCAGCCCACCTCGGGGTCTCCGTAGCCAGGCGTTCGATCAAGAGCTCCGGCCTGATGGGAAGTGAGATGGAGCTGTAATTTGGAATGGCGGTTGCTCTGTGTGTCATTGTGTTTGCACATCTGTGTGTGTCCGCCAGTTTATTTCTCTCACTCACTCTCGCCGCACCGCATGGAGTCTGTCAGGTTTTCTGTTCTTTGTTGTGCAGCGAGAGAAGGGACGAGTCTATTGCAGGTCATACTGGCTTCTTTGTACGGATTTATATGGCAACAACATGGGTACATCTAAAGCAAGATATCTAAAAGTTGGTGTTTTGGATGTTAGTTTTGCAAGGCATAAAACCACAGCATAAACCTGACGCTACTATTGAAGCTAGAGTACCTCACATTGAAACCACAACAATATCGTAAAATCCCCGTAACTAGTTCTTAGCTCTCAAAGCAGTTTGGCCCTCTCGTTTTGGATGCTATGAATTTGTCACCATATACCAGCATATGTACTGAACTTTTAATATCGTTTTCAATGGAAAATTGTATTTAGAATTGTTTCTCGCTCCATGGCTCCTATGTTTATTATTGCATTTCCTGTATTCAAACTGTTCTCTCATCCGTTGTTGGTGAATCGACAACTTTGTAAAATCCTCCGAGATACCCACTGTTGTGATTTAGGACTATACGAAAATACATTGAATTGATTTGAATCTGCTTTTTTAGCGTATTTTTATTTAACCTTTTGGTGACTTTTGTTAGAAAGGATTTTGAAGTAAATAAAATAGAAATTTAACATTATTGCCGTACAGCCTGTATATATACATACATACAGAATTTATGGTTTTGTGAAAATAGGCCCAATTATAATCCATACACATGAACATTCCATACATACACATACACAACATAAATTAACATACACCCTCTCGTTTTGGATGCTATGAATTTGGGACCACATACCAGCATATGCACTGTATACTGTATTTATAGCTAGCCCTAACTTGATCAATACATCCATATATATATATACAGAAATAAAGGCTTTGTGAAAATAGTTCCATTAATAATCCATACACATGAACATAATACTGGAATCTCTTTCATTGTGTGTCTCTTTTCACTGTGTGTTTGCATTGTAGGTTTTTTGAAGGTATATAAAACAGCAGAAGCATACTTCCCTTTACAGCAAAAGCAAACCATACAGACTTCATGAAAATACCCTTTTATTTTTTTCACTATCCTTTTAGCCTAACTCGACGCTCAGGCACATCTAAAAACATAATTACCTTGGACAAAATGAGCCCATTTGGCATTGCTAAAATGTTAACCATCTGTAAAAAAGTGGATTCAGTGGGAAAGAAGGCTACAACCTAGATCTACTGTATGTTCATTTATTTACACAAATATCTGGTCGACTGTGTTAGTTTGAAATGTTGCTGTTTTTTGTGTTTTTTGGATTACACAATAGTCACTACAGAGTTCAGTAGAAACCAGAAGTGTATTTATTTATTTTTGTATAGCTTAAGTATTTTTAGTATTTCTGTTCAATATATAAGCACTAACATTGTAACCTGCTTGCATTGTAATTGTAAACTTCAATCAATTTTGAAAGATTTTTTTTTTTTTCTTCTTCTTCAGAACCTTTTATATCTTGACTATAGAATCCCATACTGCAATCGGAGTCCTATCCATTTTCCACCCATATAGTGAGCCAAACATAATATTAAAAAAAGCATTTAGCATTGTTTAGGGTTCTTATAACATAATATATTATATGGATACTTGAAATGTTGCATTCTCTTAAGCTTCGTAAATCTATACAAATTGGCTGCCAGTCCACTGAAACAAAATACAATCTCATAATGGCATGGAACGAGCAAAGTGGTCTTTCTTCTCAGACGGACAACCATTTTACTAAGCTGGTTCTAATTCAATCCTCATTATTCTTCCATCATCATCATCATCCTATAATCGGAAGTGGACCAGATGGAGATTTTTAAGAAATGGCCCATTTTTGGAGTAATGTAATTAGACAGATAGAGAAATGGTGTGGAAATGGTGGTGAGAGCTCAGGGGGATGATGGATAGCATGTTTGCGGGTTTCGAAAGTATGTGTATGTGTGTGCGTGTACTGTATGTGTGTATCTGTATGCCCCTTCCATCCGCTGTTAATCCCATTAGAGCTGCCTGGATTAAGGACTGCCTACAGTTACCTTCACTGGGCTGGAGAGTAGGGGAGGAGCATTAAGCCACCACGCGCTCTGCTAATTGCATTGCAGATGAAACCGTCTGGATGGAGAAGACGGCTTGCGTTACGTTATTTTTGCGCATCGCACTCGACGGGCAGAGGGAACCATCGAGAGGAATGACTTGCGGTATAATGAGGGACAGAACAAAGATGGATCGGCGGTTGACGGAAACTGCTGTTTACGAGAGCTGATGTAGTTAAAATGGGATCATTGTGGCGAGGCCAGCCGCAGGGAGAGTGTTAATCGCGTCTGATAAAAGGGGCGAGATGTGGCGAGAAATGTACAATTCTCCTCCTGCTGAGAGACGCTTGTTTGTGTAATTTGGCCAAAGGTAGAGTCTAATTTGTGCTGGAAAGTTTGTGTATACATCATTGGAGTGAGAGACAAATGCCCAAAAAAATAACAATTGTAAACCGCTTTGAGACTCAGATCTGCAGTGAAAAGGCGGTATATAAATAAAGATTACTAATTACTTACTATTGTTTATTGTGATGATTTTTCATAGTGTGGCATAGAAAGTCATCTATCTTACATCTATGTCAATTACAAGTGAGTAGTTCTTTGTATTGGTTTTAGATAGGTGGGTATTTCCATAAACAACTATCCTACCCTGTTTTTTTATATCTACGTAGCTATAGCGTTTGTCCAAAGCCCTGCTGAGTGCAAAGGTGGCAATAACTGGCAATTTAAAATACATTCTGATTCTGATTATTTGCACATTGTAACATGTCTTAAGTAAAATTCCTCAGACATTGGCCTATATTTGGAGCAAGTTAATTGTGAAGAATGTTTTGGGTTAGAGAAATATTTTTAAATCATGAGCTTTTTAGGCTTGCAAAGAATTCTGTTGTAACACCTGTCTGTAGCCAACTACAACTTGTGAGATTGAGAGAAGTTTCTCTGCCCTCAAACTGATTAAAAACCATGTCAGGACAAGAGACTGGATTGAGTCATCTCAGTCTCCTTAGGGTGCTCAATATGGAGAGTTTGTCAAAGTCTTTGTTTCACACCAAAGCCGCAGGATTTCTCTTTGCTGAATAACTACAAAAATAGTAGTTGTAGTTCTTAGACTATTTGTATTTGCTACATAAACATTTCAATAATGTAATGTTTGCTTTGTAGATACCCAAGATGTATTTATTTTCCAAATGTATTGCTACCAATTTGTGTAAGGGATACATATTTCTAATAGTATTAGAGACTCCTTAGACAAACCCTTTCCACCCTCTGCCCACTGTAGTGCTTTTTCCACACAATTAAGAATTATTACAAGTCACAAGGGGAGCTCAGACAGCATTGCAGAGATGCCTGCAAGTTGTGATGTTCAAGATTATTCTACTACTTTTACTTTTACACTGCAAAAAGTGATGATGGCTAAATATATCTTAATTGGAATGAGAAAATAGAGCAATTGTTCTTGAAATAAGACTACATGGATTTGTCCCATTGCCAAATCTTGTTTTAAGACGTTCTCAAATTTAGATAAAAATTCAATTAAATGTTTTCCAATTCATTTTTTTGTAGTGTAGATACTTGTTCAATTGGGTTCCAAAATGGTCAAGTTCAGTATCTGTCTGTATATTTACAGACAGATACTTATGTGACAAGCCCAATAGTGTCGTGTCCCTCTGCATGTGTGGAGTAGATAATGACCTGTACAGACTGCTCTGTACAGACCTGCTCCAGACTGTGCACACTCATAACTCACAAGTTTCCTCTTGGTAGCGCCGCTGCGTGGCTCAGCTGTGGGCTGATACTTGCCTCTAAATGTCAATAGTCAGTCAATAAATCAATAGCTCAGCCGGCTCGTCCCACTGCCTCCAACTCTGTGTGTGAGTGTGCACTTTCCACCACTTGCAAACATGAACTGTGCACTGCCCTCAAAAGATCCTGACTTTTTCTGTTTGATCTGTATAAGGCCGGTAGACTCTCACTGTGAGTAAACAACATGGCTGAGTGAGAAGAATTGAGGCAAAAAGTACCACACATGGTTTACTTTGAATAAATACGACCTAACTTTTATTCTTGGAATGCTTTTGAAAGTTAATTCAATCCTTTTTTTCCTCCAGACCAACTGTGACAATTGAAACTGGGATAAAGTTTGAGGGAACTTGTAGTTTGCTAGCCTCTACATCCCACCAGGAGGCCAGGGGAAGGCAGTAGGTACAAATCAGCACCATAGCTGTTAATATGGAAGTCCACACGCTTATTTAAAATAGTTTTAGAACAATATTAGGTTAGATTAGCCTATATTGTCTATGTAGGAGATTCAATTTCTTGTATCCATGCAGTTATCGAGCTCCCAATTGTCATTTATTAAATAATCTCACTCTCTTTAACATTGTCCTCTTCTTTTGACCCGTGCCTCAATTCTTCTGGGGCAACCTGTCAGAAGCAGGAACCCGTCTCCATATGTAGAAGCTTAGCGTGGTCAGGTAAAGGCTGATTGGGGAAACCGGAGTGCCCAGAGGAAAGCCATCCAGACACAGGGAGAATT